GCCTATTTTCCAAATTCTTCTCTACACACACACACACACACACACACACACATACACACACACATCCTGACATCTAGATGTTGAGTGATTTGACCAAGAGCACATTTGAATATCAGGGAAAGGGAGAGAAGATTTGAACATATCCCATGTGACATGCACTGTACCAGGTGCTCTGTAGAGCTTAAGAAGGAAACTGAGACCTGAAGAGTTAAGTAAATTAAATATTAAATATTAAACCATTTCTGAATGCCCATTCACCTCCACTGCCTTGCTCTCTCCAGGTTTCTGACCCCCTCCAGCTCCTGATTCCCACTTAAGTGTTCTACCCACTGTACTCTCCTACCTCTCATGGAAGACGAGTTATGCTTTTCAGGAAGCCTGGGTTGTGGGGGGGGCTCTGGACTCCTAGGTGTTACCTGAGCTCACTAGCATCATGCCAAGGGTGTCATTCACCTTCCAGCCTATATGGTTTCTTTCAGGATGTTTTGTTTTCTTAACCAGTGTTCCCTGAACAGCCTGAAATTGTTAATAGAGCCTCTACAAATGTGTAGTTGTTCATTATTATGGACATAAAGTAAGTAATGAATAAATACTTCTTCATGTAAGTGACTCATAGAAGGAAGTACTATAGAAGAGACTTTAAAGGCATCTGACGTTGAATAGAAATATCAAATCCAAAATAACCTAAAATTATGTTTCATTTGGATATTTGAATCAGGGTTACAACTGGACGGTCATCCTTTGTGGATTCACCAAACATGAGTGAAGAACGTGATAAGAGCCAGAGAGTCCACAGGACCTGAGGTTGTGAGACTGTGTGAGAACAAGCCCTCTCACTTTGAAGCTTTTAGTCTAATGAACAAGACAGAGAGCAAACATCTCAGTCATATTATCGTATGTGGTACCTTAGTTTGCTAGGGCTGCCATAACAAAAACACAAGTGGATGGCCTTAGAGAACAGGAGGCCTTGTACTGGGTGTTAAGAGCCCAAATTAAAGCTTGCCAAAGGTCTGTCTGTTTCTGTCTCTCTCTCTGCCTTAGGAGAGTCCTCCTTGTGTCTTTAATTTGTGGTAGCTTTGGGCATTTCTTGGCATTCCTTGGCTTATAGATAGATCTCTACATGGAGTCTTACCCTTGCATGGATCTCTTCCTGTCTGTGAGGCTCTTTTCATAAGAAACTGCTCACAGGATTAAGAATAGGACTCACCTTTTTCAAGGTTGACCTCATTAACATAACAAAAACTTATTTCCAAACAGGTACAGGGCTTAGGACTTCAATGTGTCTCTTTGTTGTTGTTAAGTGTCGTAGAGTCGTTTCCGACTCATAGCGACCCCATGCACAGCAGAACAAAACACTGCCGATGTGTTTCTTTAGAGGACACAATTATATCCATAATATGGGATGATAACCACTTTGAATAAAGTACTATGGTACATAAAGGCAAAAACGATTAATCTAGCGTATATGACTTGAATGGTAATTGTTGTTGTTAGGTGCCATTGAGTTGGCTCCAACTCATAGCAACCCTATTCATAACAACACAACTGCTCCCTGTCCTTCACCAGACTCACAATTCTTGCTATGCTTGACCCCATTATTGCAGCCACTATGTCAATCCTTATTATTGAAGGTCTTCCCCTTTTTTGCTGACCCTCCACTTGACCAAGCATGATATTCTTCTCTGGGGAATGATTCTTTCTGACAATATGAACAAAGTAGGTGAAATGAAGTCTGGCTATTCTCGCTTCCATGGAGCATTCCAGCTGCACTCCTTCGAATAATAATTATATAATCCTATTTCTTGGTTGCCAAATACCAACCTTATCTTCAAAATGTGTTCTACTCGTTCTTCCATGACTTTATGAATGTTAATATAAAATATGATCCCTGGGTGGTATTTTATGTTGGTGTTCCAGAATCCATGGCATTGCAATATGTGGGCATTCATCTTTCTTCTCACTGGAATGAACCTCAACCTGTAGGAGAGTGATACTGGGTTTAGGTGAGCATCTAACCTGGGTAACCAGTTGGAGTACATCCAAGATGCCAAATCCTAACTCCCAACCCTCTACACCAGAATCTGCCAGGTGGGCTCTGGGTAGCCACTTTGTGATGTGTATTTCTCAGGTAATACTGATACAATAAAGTTTGAGAGTCAATCCTGGAAAGAAGAAATGAAAAATAACTTAGTGAAATAGCTTGAGGCAGAGCTACTTTGACTTACAAGCCCCCAGACCTGTGACACAGTGACTTTGAATTATTTAGACACGTAGGCCCATGTGGGAGCAAATTTATCTTGGGCCAGTTGCTGGAATATGATATGTCTTCTCCACACTCAGTTCTGGGGTCTGGCAGCGAGGGTGCCGTGGAGTCTCATTGCTATCACTCTCTCCCCCAGGGAAGCCTCGGATCCATGATTTCAGTTTGAAACTGTTCCACAGCAGTGACACATTGCTCCTGCCATCTGGTCACCCCGGCCATGATTAATGGCTTTTAATAGAACTTCAGAGGATGGGTGGAGGTGAAAGTGACTAAATCCACATCACCCTGTGCACCCATCGGGAATTTTGCAGAAATCAGACAATAGTTGCATGCCAGATTCCTTGGATACGCCTTCCAGTCATGCTTGGGTTACACTGTCACATGGGTCCTGCCTGGCTTTGGTGTCGGTGTGTCAGGGTTCCAATCCTCGTTCTGGGACCTGCACAACTCCTCTCTCTAATCCTCATTCTCCTTCTCATTGTATGCCTGTTTCACATGTTGTGGTGGGAAGTGACATTAGACAACACAGGCGACATGCTCAACCTAGTGTCTGTAAATTAGTGAGAGCTTGGAAATGTTAGCTCTTATTTTAAATGGCATTATTTAAGAAGCTCGAATTAAGTGCTCAGCTGCTAACTGAAAGGTTGGTGGCTTGAACCCACCAGCTGCTCCATGGGAAAAAGATGTGGCAATATGCTTCTGTGAAGATTACAGCCTAGGACACCCTATGGAGCAGGTCTACTGTGTACTATAGGGTCACCATGAGTCAGAATTGATTTGCTAGCAATGGGTTTGGGTTTTGGACTTTTTATTTATTTATTTATTGCTTTAGGCTGTGTCCTGGGTTCCTATAGCTACTGCAGATAGCAATGTCCCACTATAGCAGGACAGGGATGGAGCCCCCAAAAGGTCTGGTTTTCCAAACTATGGTACATACCCACAACGGAATACTATGCAATGTTAAGGAATAACAAAAAATCTGCAAAATACTTCATAACATGGATGAACCTGGAGGACATTAAAAGAAACAAACCAAACCCACTGCCACCGAGTCGATTTTGACTCATAGCAAACCCCTTTGGGTTTCCAAGGCTGTAAAACTTAACGCAAATAGATTGCCTCATCTTCCTCCCATGGAGTACCTGGTGGGCTTGAACTGCCATACTTCTGGTTAGCTGTCACATGCCTTATGCATTATGCCACCAGGACTCCTTTCTGGAGGACATTATGCTGAGTGAAATAAGTCCATCACAAAAGGACAAATATTGTATGAGTACAATATTATAAAATGTCAAGGAAAAATTTACACATGTGAAGAAACAATGTTTGAGGTTACCAGGGATAGATGATAGATAGAGAGAGCTACAGGTATCAATAGATATGGATGTAGATGGTATAGATGTATGGTCTGGTTTTCTCTAGAGTAGCAGATGCAGTTTCAATCAGGGCCCACAGATACACAGCCATAGTGACCTATCAGAGTTCCTTGAAGCTGCTCCCACTATAGGGAACAAAGGTGTAGGTCAAGCCCTGTCTATCTGTGGCTGCCTACACCAGTGTAGACATAGACTGAGGGGGGCCATCACTGGTGGCTGTAGGAGTTGAATGTCAACACCACCATGAGCTTTCACTCAAGAGGGCATGTAGCTTCATAGGAGTAGTATTGTTGTAAGTTGCTGTTGAATAAAGTCCAATTCATCGTGACCCCATTTTCCAGAGTTGGACAGTGCTCCATAGGGTTTGCAAGGCTGTGACCTCAGAAGCAGATCTCCTGGCCTATCCTCCAAGGAGCCTCTGTGTGGGTTCAAGCCTCCAACCTTCAGCTAGTAGTTGAGTGCTTAACCATTAGCACCACACAGAGACTTCTATTTTGATAGTGGTGAGCACTTTTTAGCAACTCATTGGGTCTTTCCACTTTGGGGCTGGTATAATGTTTTGTTTTGATCTGATTAGCCCTGGTGAGGCTAGTCAACAACAACAGCCTTGGTGCCAGAAAGATTAGCGCTTCACTGATAAGTGAAAGGTTGACAGCTCAAAGCCACCCAATGGCTTTGAAGGAGAAACACCTAGAGACTTGCTCCTGTAAAGATTTGCTGTTGTTGTTAGATGCCATTGAGTCAGCTCTGACTCATAGACGTGCTGTGTACAACAGAATGAAACACTGCCAGGTGCTACACCATCCTCATAATCCTTGCTCTGCCTGAGCCCATCGCTGCAGCCGCTGTGTCAATCCATCTTGTTGAGGGTCTTCCCCTTTTTTGCTGACCCTCTACTTTACTAAGCATGATGTCCTTCTCCAGGGACTGGTCCCTTCTGACAACATGATCAAAGTAGTTAACACAAAGTCTGGTGATTCTCCCTTCTAAGGAGCATTCTGGCTGCACTTCTCCCAGGCCAGATTTGTTCATTCTTCTGGAAGTCTATGGCATTTTCAGGATTCATTTTAAAGGAATCAACTCTTTTTTGGTCTTCTTTATTCACTATCAAGTGTTTGAGGCAATTCAAAATATCATGGCTTGAGTCAGGTACATTGTGAAGATTATAGCCTACAAACCCTATGGGGAAGTTCTGCTAAATAATTCCATAGGGTTATTATGAGTCAGAACCAATTTGACAGCACCCAACAGCAGCGTACAGAGGGAGGGGAGCCTTCACAATCATGACGTAAATCTACTAGGAAGCATGGGATCATCTAAGTTGTTCTTTGTTTTGAGAGAAACTTTCCTCTCTCTTGAAGCTTTGGCATGGTCCATGACGGAGAAGGGAATGTGTGCAAAAAGTCTGAGGGCAACATCATGTCACCTACCTTGGCCGGACGCAATGGGGTCTTCTCCTGGTCACCCTGCAGTCGACAGTATCTGCACAAGTTTCTAAGGTAAGAATCCTCGAAACAATCAGCGTGCTGTCCCTGTGCTGCTCCTGTGTGCTGCCTGGTGAGTCTGGTGGTGTTGACAGAGTTCAGTCAGCCACAGGCTCAGGTGTGAATTCCACAGGCGATTCTTTGGAGGTAGCTGCCCAACGCTTTCTTAGCACATCGAGGCCTAAGTGCTGAACCCAACCTCACTTGGCCTTTACACTCAAAGGAAGCCTATAGGCCATTTAACGTATTGAAGCATATGTCACTGATTTTTTAAAAAAATTCTTACCTCTATAATGATACAATTTCCGTCACTCATAGGGAGACCAAACATGTTCACTGTGTACATTATGATAATGCATAACTCACTTTTTTCTTTCATTTTTTTCATAAAATGTATTTTTTATTTAGCAGAAAAACTTGAATAGAAACATTAACAAGACTGTGAAATACTGTAATTTGAGTATTTTTAGAAAATGTTATTATAAAATGAATTCATTTGGTGTCTAGAGCATTGAGGAGGTGAGTTCGACTTCTAAGGAAGAAATAGTCAGTAGATTTTAAACTGTTAGAGAAAGAAGTACTTTAAGAAACCTCCTTAGATCAGACAGACAGACTGTCCCCCACAACCTTAATGGCTTCGAGTTTAAAGTATGGAATAAGCTTTAAAGCAGAGTTTGATTGGGCAGTGGCACTCTGCTCTGTGCAGTCACTCAGAGACTCAGCTCCTGTGTCCTGTGGTCTTCCTTACGCTGGAACCTAGTCCTCCTTTGTGACCATCTGTGGTTAGGGAGAAGGAACATTTCAAGGTGTGCCAGACAAGATGTGGTGTTCTTGGAAGCGAGGATTCAGTCAGCAGCCCCCCAAAGTCCAAGGGGAGCAGAGAAATGCTGTCTACCCATGCTCTGGAGGTAAAGGACACAGGCTTGGTAAAGATAAGGCCATCTTTGCCACACCACCACCCCCACATCATGTCACAGGTGAAGTAATGGAGCCTGGGAGGATCAGCCAGCCAGAGGCAGAACTGAGAGCAAAGCCTAGACTTTCAGGACATATGACTCCACCACTGTCGTCTAAAAGGAGGACAACAGACACAACTGTGGAGGAAAGGCAGCACTGGTGCATTTGTAGCCATCATTTGTATCCTTATCGTCAGGTAATTAACAACTATTGTATACAGTCCAGTGGATTCCAGTACACAACGACCCTATAGGACAGGGTGGAGCTGCCCCAAAGGGTTTCTAAGACTGTATATGTTTACAGAAGCAGGTGCTTCCTTTCTCCTGTGGAGCGACTGGTGGGTTCAGACCACCATCAGATCGCCCCGTGCGATCACCACAGTGTGCCACGTTGGGTTCCCCAGAACACTAGTTCCCACACGGCATTCCTGCAGAGTCAAGTCAGGTATGGCGAGCACTGCTTCCCGTTGTTCTTGCAGCTGGTCGGATTGTGTGTGTAGATGCAGAAGAACTCTGTTTTGTTCAGTGAGAGAGAATGTTCTCTTCAAGCTCACAAGACTCGTTCATAGAAACAAGGACAATTTAGAATCTTTATTTCAACTCCTTTTCAAAGGTTTTTAAAAAATGATTGATTGTTTTTCAAAAATGTTTAACTCTTTCTACTTCCTAGTTATGAAGAAGATGTGTAAGGGTTTTTAATTTTTTGACATATACTTGGAGACCAATGAAAAAAATAACGAATATCACTGCCATTGAGTTGATTCCAACTCATAGCGACCCCCCTTTGGGTTTCTGAAGTGGTATCTCTATGGAAGTAGATTGCCCAGTCATCCTTCTGTGGAGTGGCTGATGGGTTTGAACTGCCAACCTTCTGCTTAGCAGTCAAATGCCTTAGGCACTGTGCTACCAGAACTCCTGGAAAAAACAAGGGCATAGAAAATCAGATGTGTAGTGTGAATCAACATTATGAGAAAATCCAGAAAAGTTTTTGAAACCAATAAATAGAAAAACACTCATGGCAAGTCGATAGTTGTATACTCAGAGAGGAGTTGTTCTGAGAACACTGAATATAGGCTGTAAACTTCAAAGCAATCCATTTTTCTTCTGTGATAGTGGGACAGCTGAAATAGTCCCTTGAGATATATTCCTTAGTCTTTGGGTAATCATTAAACTGTACTGATCTATTTCAATGTAATAAAACTTTATTTTCAGGGATTTCACGCATTTTCTTAGTCCCATGATAATCAGTAAATATATAAAGTTGTACACAGTCACACGTGTTTCTTTTAAGAAATAAATTTGCCAAGAAATCTTCTGACTGTCAGATTCACTATCAAAGTTTGTTTTATTGGGAGTGACCAGTTGCAAATGGAATTCTTCTACCAATAGTGTGTTAGTACCAAGTTTTCATTGGCAGGATGAATCTGAGTCCATGAACTTAAACGTGTTTACTGACTTACTTTCTAAGTGATCAAAAAAGTCTTTCTGTTCTTCACAATGACATGGCTGTTGGATATGATCCCAACAAAGAGTAATGTTAAATGGCCAACTTTTAAAGATAAATCTGCTCCCGTTAATTAGCAGGCTAGCATTGTTGTTGTTGTTGTTAAGTGCCGTCGAGTCTTTTCCGACTCATAGTGACCCCATACACAGCAGAACGAAACACTGCCCGATCCCGCGCCAGTCCCACAATCCCTGCTATACTTGAGCTCATCGTTGCAGCCACCATATCAATCCATCT